AACGAATATTCATATTTGACCTGATTGTTTATAGTTCATAATGAGTGATCAAAACCGAAAGTTTCTGTGATGAATGCCCTTGTACTGTTCACCATGTAAGAACTTATTCACTATGTAAGAATTTGTTCACCATGTAAGAACTTGTTTGTTATGCTTCAGAAGATGGGAGACTGACGAGAATTAGGCTGGGGGTGGATTAATGATTGTGCATTGAGCATTGACTCCCCTATACAGAATTTTATTGTTGTTAACAACCATTTGATCAATAAATATGAGAGATGCCCTCTCAAAAAAAAAAAGTAGGCAGTATCAATGGGCTCCTTCATTCTTAGCTTCTCCTTGGGTTCCAATGAGTGGCACCAATAGGAGGTTGAAGGGTAAAAGAACAGTGAGGCTGGTGTATTTTGTTTCTGGCTTTCTCTCTTCCAGGTTGCTGTGGGTTGGCTGTACCTTTAGTACAGTCACTGCACCTTTAGTCAAGTGTCTCTCTCCCTATAGCTGTCTTCTTCAGGTTCTGTAATTGCTTCCTTTCCTTGCCTCTTCAGGTTAAGTGTGGTAACAGCTCTCCATTGTTCCTAGGCTCAGGTTCTAAACACTACCCATACCTCCATAAATAGTCCCTTTATTAAAACCTCTTCAAATTATCTGTTTCCTTCTGATACCCTGATACAGATTATGAAGTAGATTCTGAGACATTCCACCTCACCTGATTCCCATATTACTATAAAGTACAGAATTATGGAGTGAAAAGAATTCTTTTTCTATTGACAATAAACATAGATGAGTGAAAATAGGATATTCAAATTCTCTTAGGAGTGAAACTATATTTGTTATGAATAATAATAAGCATTATTGTTATTATTTATTTAGTTTATCACCCAGAAACACTTATGTCTACTTCTTTGTCTAACTATGTCTAACTATATTTTTTACTATATATGCCTTTTTAATCAAACTTGTTAAATAGGTAACTTGGTAGGCAGAATAACAGCCACCCCACCCCCAACCCTAAAGATGTCCATACCTAATTCCTGGAACCTGTGCGTATGTTACCTTAGTGGCAAAAGAGATTTTACAGATGTGATTAAAATGAAGGACCTTGAGATAGGAAGATTATCCTGGATTACCCAGGTCTGCCCAGTCTAATCACAGGAGTCCTTAAAAGCAAAGAACCTTTCTGGCTGTGTTCCCTGAGAAATTATAGGATGAGAGAAAAGTCAGAGAGATAGCAGTGTGAAAAAGATTTGACAACCCATTGCTAGTTCTGAGGTGTACAGGGCTATATACAAAGACTCAAGTCTCTAGGAGCTAAGGGCAACGCGTAGCTGACAGCCCACAAGGAAACCAAGACCTCAGTCTCTTATTTCCCTGAGGTTTTGAGAAGGACAAGTGGCTAACTTGTGCGTCTGGTTTGCTATCTTAAGCTATGTTAGTAGGCTGTTGAAAAAGCAAAAGCCAGAGATTAGCCAGCAATTTCTGCTTTCCACTTCCTATTTATTTTCTAAGGCAATACAGACTTTCTGCTTGAATGAGAGGGAAGGGGTGGTAGGAAAAGACTATCAGGAGGAGGAAAAATATGATACCACATATAACTCCAGGGGTGGGGGTGGGAGAGAGTCCTGGGGCAAAATGCCTTTGAAACCGAAATTATTCAAAGGGAGAAATAAAGTGGGAGAAACCCATTTATTTCTTACAAGCAGTCGCCCCCAGTCTATCTTGACGCAGCTACAGGAGAGCTCCTCCCAACCTCTCCCGATCAGATAAGCCCTCCCTCGCCCTTGTAATTACCTATTGATATGGAGATGAACTAAAGCCAGGCTAGTGATTCTGGAAATATTGCAGTTTTACCCACACCACAATTAATGTTTCACATTCCATCATACATGATAGAAAGCAATTTTTTTCTACCTCAGGAACTTCAAAAATGCTACTACTCCTCCTGGAACACTCCCAACTTCACCCCATTACCCTTTGGCGCTACATGAAGAGAACTACAAAAATTAACCAAGGGACATAGGATTTTTTTACAAAGTAACAAGTTATATCATGAACTTTTCCCACATGAAGACTACTTTTAAAAAATACAATTTCTTCCAAAATATATATATAAATCTAATAGAATTTCAAGAAAATCTCAAAATGATATTTTGAATTGACCAAATGATTTTAATTTTCATCTGGAGGAAGAATAAATGTGTGAGAATAGCTAAGAAAGTGAGGGATGAGAGGGAATTTACAATTTTAGTCTGGTGAGGGATGGCTAAACCTACACCAAAGGTTGAAATGATTAAAGTGAAGTTGATACATTGATGACATACAAATGTAAAACTTTTCTTGCACCAAAGTTACAGCCAAAATAAATTGCTTTAGACAAACCAGGGGAAATTGCCACATATCTAAAAAAGGGCTAACATTAGTGTACATAAACTAGCGAGATTTTGAAAATTCCAAAAGAAAAATAAGCAAAGGACAAGTCTATTAGAAAAAACAAAAAACTTCATGCAAATGGTTGACAAACATATGGAAAAAATGTTCAGTTGTTCTCATAATGAAATAATTACAAAAGTAAGTAAAAGATAATTTTTTTTTTACCTACTAAGTTGAAAGATTTTTTAAACTACACTTTGAAATGTAAGTTAAACATCTAAGTGGATAAATAGGCAGTTGGATATATGAACTTGGTGTTTAGGCTGAAACCCAGTATAACGAACAAATGGTATTTAAGAACACAAGATTGGGTTACATAACATTGTGTCCATTGTAATGTGTTCAATGCCACTGAATTACACACTTAAGGATGGCTAAAGTGATAATATTATTCTATGTATAGTTTACCAAAATAACTAAAAACAAAACAAAAACCAGGACACTGGATGAAATGACCAGGGAATGAGTAAGGATAGGAAAAAAAAAAGTCTGAGGTCCCAACCCTGAACATTACAACTGTTTGGAATCATTGTCACTCAAAATTATATTGACCTTGGCCTATATAACATGGAAAACATTTTGTATTCTGATCCCTTACAAGCTCACACACACACACATACACACAAAACAGATGTTTCACAGAACAATACCCATGTTTACTACATGCAATGTGTTCTGATATTTTCCATTTTTATATTTGCATAAAAATAAAAAAATAAAAAAGATAAATACCAAAGATAGATAACATGTAATTTGAAGGTGAGAATGAATAGATACAGGTATTTTCCAAAAGCCCACTCTTAAGAAAGACCTGTTTTCGGTAATAGAGACCCTAAGAGGATTTTCACTTTGGCTAAAGTGAAACTGGTGTTCAGCATTAGTTTGGCAGCGAGCCTTACAGAGGCACTGTGCACCCCAAGCAGCGAGAGTGGCACCACCAAGCTCTTCCCCAGGAGCTACACTCAGCCTCTCAGCATCAAAGCACCAGAGCGTTGAGCTGGGTCTGGGAGCATCTGTGCTTTATCCCAATTTATTTTGTGGATCTGTTAGCAAGACGTGTCCTAAGGTATCAGAAAAGTCTAAGATTATTTTTGGCGTCTAAGAACACTAAAAAAAAATTCTTATATAAATTAATGTTAATTGCTTCAGTTCATGCCATTTGGCTTACAAAAGATTTCATAGGAATGCTCTACTTTTGGATAGTAGGGGAAACCTGTATTGGAAAGGCATAGGGGAGAAAATGACGAGCCAGTAGCCAAAGAAAAACAATGCGGGGTGGGGAGTTACATAACTGCAGCTCTTTCTCTAAAGGATTTTTTAGGAAATTTTAACTAAGAGTAGTTATCTTGGTATTGAACAATTGCTGAGGCACTTGCTGAACTTGTGGTTTCTTGGTCCAGGTAAAATTAAAAGAAAAATAGACTTTCAGGCATATTATTATAAAACCTTGTTTTTCTGTATATTATGCTTCTGGTCTAACAGCAGAAGTGGTCAAATTTACACAATCTGTGAGGTGGAAACAAGAGAGGAATTATTTAGTGTTGGCTAAAGTTTTAAACCTAGAAACACAGTCACAGTGAGATGCCAAAAAATCACATCCATCTAGTGTGTATAACACCAAGTAACAAACCTTGGAAGAAATAAATTAGGAAAGAAACTAGATGCCCAATGCCAATGTGAGATAATCTTTTTATTTTTAATTAAAGTATCATTGATACACAATCTCACGAAGGTTTCACATGAACAACACTGTGGTTTCAATATTCACCCATATTATCAATGAAATAATTAATAATAAGTCATTATCCTACCCCCACTCATTACAGTCACTATCAGCATAGTAAAATGCTATAGAGTCATTACTTGTCTCCAGTGAGATAACCTTTATAATTTACTAAATATACTGAACATACTTTTCATCCATCTAAAGAGTTTGGTAGAACACTTGAGGGACATACGGTAGAGAGGCAAGAGGAAGTTTCACTTTGCAAAGCAGTTGTTCTTCTAAGCACCACTCGTCATGTAGCCCCTATGCGTCCTGTTATCGGTCTCCCTTTTAACCAGATACTTTTTTTACAGGAGGGCATAAAAACCCCTCTTTACTTCTTCCTATTGAATTTGTCCTTCCTACAGTTCAGTGCATTTTATAGGGTATGTTAATATCATTTTCTTATGAGTAAGCAGTCTCTATCAAAAAAAAAAAGATGTTGGTCAAGACTCATTAGTCCAAATTCGTCAAATCATATACATTAAATGTGCAGTTTTAAAAAGTATCAACTATACCTCAATAAGACATTAAAATATCTTCACAATCCATAGGTAATTTATGACCTACAGTTTAAAAACCTCTTAGAGATGAGGGAGGCAAAGAAGCAAGAAGTTTGAGAAGAGTGTTTAGTGAAATAGGAGGAAAACCAGCAGAGAATAGGGTCTCAAAAGTCAGGTGAGGAAAGTATATCAAGAAAGGAGTTGTTCACTGCATCAAATGCTGCTGAGAGGTCGAGGAAGATGAGGATTAGGGACTGGCCTACAGATTTGACAGTGAGAGAACCGACAAGAACAGGTTTGGTGAAGTGGTGAAGGAAAAGATCACTCTGGAGAGTATTTTTTTATTGTATTAATTTTTGGGGGGTTTCTCTGTACTCTCTAAATGTTCTACAGTGCACTTCTAACATGAGAAAAATAACATAAACCCACAATTTTATCACAAGGATAAAAAAAAAGTTTGTACACTAAAAGAATCTTGGATTTGAAAATTTTCTCCTATGGAACACCTCATTCCTTAATGGTACTGACGTAAGTAAAATATCACTGTACTGAAAGCTGGAGGTCATCTAAACTTTTCTAATTTTTTCCCTTTTTTCTGTCCCCAAAAGCTTTAATGAAAATATGAGATCTAATTATTCCTCTCTCTGATGAAATCCCTTCCCCTTTTCAAGGATTCAGACTATGTCTTACGCAGGATGATGGCCACAGGCCATCTGGGTCTGACCGAAATCTACAAGAATCCCAGTATCAACTTCAGGAAGACGTGTATCTTCAGGTATGAGATGCATCTTCCTGTCTGTCTAGATTGACTGCAGAACATACCCCCTGCTGTGATAGGAGATCTGAGAAACACCGCTTTTGCCTCTTATTAATATATACTGACTCATTCTGATTGGATTTTAAAGAAAAATTCCTGCCTGCCTGGGACATGTTAATGCTTTTCCTCCACAAGTCCTTTTAAAAACTGATTTCATTGGTATTTTATATTGAAATTGCGTGTTTAAAAGCATGATAGTGTTTTATTTTCTGTGATTTTCTTGTAAACATGGAATTCAACAAATACCCATCATGATTATGAAAAATACATCCACATCAGTTATCAGAGCTCATCATCTTAATGTTAGCTAGCCTGTGAACATGTATTCTTTTTTTGTTGTTGTTATCATTAATCTACAATTAACATGCAGAACATTATGTTTACTAGGCTCCCCCCATCACCAAGTCCCCCCCACAATGCCCATTACAGTCACTGTCCATCAGCATAGTAAGGTGCTATAGAATCATTACTTGTCTTCTCTGTGTTGTACAGCCCTCCCCGTGCCCCCCCCCACATTATACATGCTAATCGTAATGCTCCCTTTCTTTTTCCCTGCCCTTATCTCTCCCTACCCTCCTATCCCCTATCCTCCCAGGTCCCTTTCCCTTTGGTAACTGTTATGAACATGTATTCTTTACTAAAAGAAGAAAGACTGGGGCAAAGGTGGGAGGAGGCAGAGAATGTGGTCTTTGATAAGTACCCAGTTCTAGATCACTTTGAATGCCTCTCACCTCTGGAATGCAAGTAACGTTATTACACTGTGGATGGATGCCAAACAGATCTTCACTGAGGACATACCTGTTACAAAAGAAACCACTGCTTCTTCTAGAGGTCAATGTAGTTGAGTAGGCAGTAACCTATCTCACACTAGTAGGCTGACTTGACATTTAAGTACCTGTGTTAATTACATCTGAGTGTGTGGCCCCCACACCAGAATGTTTATTCTGTTTTAAGCTCTTCTCCATGTAACTATTCCTTGTGCTGGTGAAAAGTTTTACAGGAGTACTTGCCTCAAAAGAAAGACATTTCAATATGAATGCAGACGGAGAAGGAAAGAGATAAAAAGAGATGTGTCTTTATCTCACTAGAGAAAGAAGTGGCCACTACATTTCTGTGAAAATCTCAGGTCCCTCTCTGATACGGTTGATACCATGCCCAGATCCCCAATATATCTTTTGCCCACTGCCTCAAGCTCTGATGCTTAAGACTCACCCTTAACTTTCTCTGAAGAGTGCCCTTGAGCAATGGGAGCTCCTCTCCAGGGGTGCCCAAAAGTTTTGTAAACACCCTCTCCGCCAACACACATCCAGGGCAGATTAGAGCCAATGACTGATAAAAGACCTTGCCTCGAGGTGGGGCAGATTCTTTGGGCACAATCTGCTTTCCAGAGCTCCCCTTTGGATCAGGCTGAGGTTAGACTTCACACGAAATCACAATCACGTTCTTACTTGGTTCCTCCTCCTTCCCCATCCTGCTTTCCTCAGACCCTTACAGGTGTCTCCTGGGAGTCCTCGCTTAGAAAACCATTTGCATAAACATCCCTGTCTCAGGCTCTGCTTCTAGGGAAGCTGACCTAACACACTTGTTGTTCCCCCAGGCATTCAACCAATACTTACTGGACAGTATATAAACAGAAAAATGAATACCTTCAGATAAATATTAGTAAAGACAATAAAGCAGACTGTCGTGATAGGGAGTGATGCAAATGCTGCTGCTTTAGTGTGGGAACAGGGCAGGCTTCCGGATGGGGAGCAGAGGGAGAGAGCCCTGTGAAATCTGGGGGTGGAGTAGTCCTGGCAGATGAAATGACAACCACGGCTGGTGCGGTGGAGTGTAGCTGATACCACAGAGTGGTTCAATATGTTTGGGTGGAAGGTCATATAAAAAGGCTGATGTTTTATATTCTTACGCTTATTTGGTTTTGGTTTCAGAGATTTCCTCTTTAAGTGTACAGACAGTTCAGAAGTTGTTTTGGCCTCTGTCTATGGAGAAAACCACATAGTAATTCCACTTCGTGAGAGAACAGGAGAAGCTCTGGGAGTTCTCGATTTTAACATTGGCAGGAGTAGGATGTTGTTATATCGAGAATTTAAAGATCTACAGAAAATGATGAAAGTGATCCAAGCCGCTTGCTATGAAATACTGGGAGAATTATCTGGAGAAATAAAGAAAAACCTTGTCTTAGGTATTGTGAATATGGCAACAGTCTGGTTTCATGGGTTTAATAAGTTCTGGGGAGTCCCAGACAATGCAATGAAAGATGCATTTCTAAAGTGAATTGTTGCAACATACAGATCTTTCCACATGAAAGGAATTCTCTCATGCAGTCTGGGCTGAGTATGGTCTATAAGTTAATGCAAAGAGTAAGGAATCACTTTTTCTTTGCTAAAATCATGTGATTTTAGAACTGGAAGTACTCATAAAGGCAATGTAGAAGTAGCATTTGTTAACTGCCCTTCATGTATCAAGCACTTTAAAGATGTTATTTCAATTAGTCCTGACCAAGGTTAGCCTTCAGTCCTTGTCAGCCCACATCTACTAGGCTACTCTTAGCACAAAATCAGTCTGGGCACAAGGAAGGAAATAAGGCAGCATGGAAAGCTTTGGCTTTATTTAGAGAGAATGGAGTGAATAGAATTAGATATAGAATAGAATAGAATTAAAAGAGTAACATTATGTGTGATTAAGCTGAAAGATTTCTAGCTATTACATGGGATGGGACAAGAAGAAAAACACATCTTTTGAGCATCCACTATGTGTAAGGCCTGGGACTAAGCACTTTTACATCTATCATCTAATTTAATTCCCACTGCTCACTAGGGAAGCAGGGATCAGCCCTATTCTTAAAGAAAAGGAAAAGGAGGTTCAGAGAGACAACAAAACTAATAAGGGGGAAAGTAGGTATTCAAACTTAGGGTTTAACTCCAAAACCTAAGTTTTCACCTTTCCTCAAAGCCTCTTTCTTTGAGCTTCACCAGGTGTTATTCTATTTCTGCCTTTTGATTTCATGACTAGAGAAACTAAGATTGATAGGATATAATCTTCTTTTTCCTGAAAAAAAAGGTTTACTGTATTATGCTCAGAATCCTATGGAAAAGTAATGTATGTACTGAACAGCAATGTGGGATGTCATTCTGTTATTCCAGAGGTTGAAAAAGTTGGAGAAGTCCAGAGGGCAGGAATTCTCTTCTTCCGAATCATGCTACAAGAGCTGCAAGAAAGCCTCCAACTGCTTACTTCCACGGACTTTGTATCACTGTTGCTCTATGATCATAATCCTCCAGCCAAGTCAAAATCTCCTCCAGACAAGTCCCAGGAGTTGAAAGATAACACAAAGCTAGTACATGACATTCTAATGGGGGTTATCTTGTTCATTCATCCAGAGTTGGAATTATCCAGTGACTTAGGAAATTGGGATGTATGTAAACAGGTAAGTTTTTTTTTAAGTACTCTTTTTGTATTTTTGGTATCATTAATATACAATTACATGAACAACATTGTGGTTACTAGATTGACAAATAACCCACATAAGTTTAGGTATACAGATCATACTCACACAAATTGTAAGTGTAAAAATGCACACTTTTACACAATGAACACTCATCATGAGCACCTAGATCAGGGAACAGAACACCAGTGGCATCCCCAAAGCCCCCTTTGTGCCCTCTCCCTTAACCTGTCACCCACACACTCATGCCAAGGGGGGCCAGAATCCTGACTTCTAACACCATAGATTGGGTTTGCCTGTTTTAAAATGTACATAAATTGACTTCTGTCAGCTGGTGAACTGGGCACTCTACTTCCACTTGCTGGTGCTCCCATAACCTTTGTTCTTTGTTCACAGTATGTTGACAGACACTTAGTCAAGAATATTTGTACCTTTGATCCAACTGCTAAGCATGTGAAAGTTAACTTACAGCTCATTGTTCAATATATCAAAGGTAAATTTCCCCTTACTTATGGTCTAAATCTATACTAACAACAATAAAACATAGTTGCAATTCAGGTATTTTTATCACAGTAAATATAAGCAAGTGACTCATAAATTCTAATTTTAGGAAAAAATAGTTCTAGTTATAGTCTTCTGAAAGGAAGGACATTGTCTATCATCTACTGTATTCCTCAAGATGTCTATGGCACACATATGAGAATTCAGAAACACGCTATCTCCTACTTATTGCATTATTCCAAAATGTGCACTATTCATTAAAAAACAAAACTGAGTAGGGGCTGCAGTGAGGATAGGAAACAAGAATATGAAGCGAAAAGGGTCTTATTATCTTTGGTTTCAATGATGAACTTAAGAAAATAATAGATATGAGGCTTTATAGGCTAGTAACGTAGACATTTTGGAGAAGTAGAATCAGTAGGAATTGAGAGCAGTGAGGCTTCCAGGTTGGAGAAGATAACAACCTCTTTGGCCACAGAGAACTGACCACATGTAAGAGTAAATGTATTTATGCAAGCACACATTCCTCCATGGGTGCAAAATTATCCCAACACAGACCTCAGGCCATTTATGTAAATGGGCCAGTTAAGGAATATATTTAAAGTTTGCTTCTTTTTTGTGATTTATGGAAAGCTAATCATTAATTGGGAAAATGGCTCTGTAGAAATTACTAAACCTACCCCTCTCGTCCCTTTCCTCCTTCTCCTACTCTCTGTGGAGACTACTCTGGACCAAGTCAGAGGGTTTTGGGGCTCCTGTGATACAAGTATTATTAAGTTTAGAGGCTCAGAACCAGAGAGACTCCTAGGACAAGAGGAAGGGAAAGCAACCCAGAGGAAAACAACCACACTCTCCAGGGTGTCTGTGGCAGTGGAGCAGGTAACACGGTGGAAGCACAGAGCAGTGATCAAGGTGTCTGGGTACATGAGAGATCTCCTGGCCTAGGAAGGCAGGATACTCCCAGAAGTTTGGGAGTGCTAGAGAATGGTGAAGGCCCAAGACTCCAGTAAGTTAACATGAGCTGATGTGGACCATGAGTGGTGTGAGTGAAGATCAGAATTCCTGTCTGGAATGGCTTCTACTGTAGCCTCATGGCTCTGAGATGATTCATGGGACACCCTGCATCATAGGTCTTACAGTCAGAACTTTGAAGGCTTCATTCCAGGTAAACAATAACAGCAGCAACAAAAACGAATACTTATTTACTGTCTGCTTGTCTGTGCTTGTTCACTGTTCACTAAGGACTTATAAATCCAGAAGAAATATTGTCTCTGTCAGTGCTTTGCTGCTGCTCTTCCCTTGGAGTAGATTTAGTCCCTGCCATGAGCCCCATCACCACCGTCTACCATGTGTGACCAGTTTGTCTGTGTGGCATTCTCCCTGAAGCCCTACTCATCCCCTACTGCAGTGCCTGCCGAAGTGCCGGCCCCTTGGCCTAGAGCCAGGTCCTGCTGTCAGGTTCACTTGTGTCCTCTCAGATGGATGCTTCCTTTCTTGGGCAGTGTCCCCAGTGTCCAATCCCATCCCTCTGCAGATAGGAGCTGAGGATGAGGACCAGGCCCTTCCACTTTCCACCTTGCAGGTGTGGCCAGGAGTTGGCTCTCAGGTCTCAATAAGCCCATCCCCAGACAAAGGCGACTTCTGTGGCATTGTATTGATGCTTCAAGGGAACCTCTTCAGGCTCCATCCCCAATTTGCCTATCAGAACCACCTCCTATTTTTTATCCAGCTCCTTTGTTTCAGAAAAGTTGCAAATTTTTGTTTCCTCTGCTTGCCCCCACTTTGAAATGTGCTGGCTGATTACTGAGCAGCCTTGATTGCCAATGCTGTCTGCCACTTTCTCTTTTCCAACAGTGTCCTCAGGTGGCAAGAATTCACACTACAGTTAACAGAACTGAATTCATCTAGAAGCCACTAACCCTCAGACTCCCCTACCACCACCACCAAGCCTTTAACATTATCTTTAGTCTCTGCAACAATCAAAAAAGTTTGTAGGGCACCTACATACCAACCCTCTCTCCTTCAGATGCAATTATATACTATTTTATGATTCCATATATAGAATAGGAAATTCTAAGCTCCCCATTTGGGGAAAGGAAGGGAAATCTGGGGGCACCTTTCTGTTTGTGCCAGAAAGAAAGGAGTCTTCTCACAGGGCAGTCTGTTGCTCAAGGTTTATCTTGACCTTCTTGCAGTGTTAACTAAGGCCCCTACCCAATGATGCCATCCCAGCATGAAATGCCACCAGTAATATCAGTTGGCTCTTCCCAGAAATGGAAGGGACTGTTAGCTTAGTTCTGAATGCACTAAGCATTTCAAACTAATCATTTTGCTAAGAAGATAGAATTAGGGCACATGATGTAATGACACTCTTAGACCTTCTACTGTCAACTCTCACCCCACCACAACCTAGTTCTAGAGAGGAGTAGGGTTTTTTAATGTTTAGAAAATGTACACTTCATTTTTATTTTTTCCTGGTTTTATTGAGACCTAATGACATATAACAAGGTATTAGTTTAGGCTATTCACCATAATGATTTGATGTATGTGTATCTGCAAAATGATCACAGTAGGTTTCATTTACATCCTTCCCCTCATATAGTTACAAAGTATTTTTCTTGTGAATGAGAACTTTTTACATCTACTCTCTTAGCAACTTCAAATGTACAATACAATGTTATTAACTATACTCACAAGACTGTTCATTACATCCCCAGGATTTATTTATCCTATAGCTCGAAGTTTGTATATTTCGACCACCTTCACTCAATTCCCCCACCCGCCAACCTCTACCTCTGGCACCCACTTCTTTGTTTCTGTTTTTATGAGTTCAATTTTTTTAATTCCACATGTGAATTCATACAGTGTTTGTCTTGCTCTGTCTGACTTATTGCACTTAGCATAATGCCCTCAAGGTCTATCCAAGTTGTTACGAATGGCAGGATTTCTTGCTTTTATACTTTGTTATTTATACATTTTTTCATATTTTGTTTATCAATTCATTCATCGATAAACACTTAAATTGTGTCCATGTCTTGGCTATTCTAAATAATGCTGCAATGAACATGTGGGTACAGATATCTCTTTGAGATAGCGATTCCATTTCCTTTGGATATGTACCCCAAAGTGGAATTGCTGGATCATATGGTAGTTCTATTTTTAATGTCTTGAGATGCTCCACACTATTTTCCATGGAGGCTGCACCAATTTAGATTCCCACCAACAATGCATAAAGGTTCTCTTTTCTCCACTTTCTTTACCAACCCTTGTTATTTATTATCTTTTTGATAATAGCATTCTAACAGATATGATGTGATATATCACTGTGGTTTTGATTTGCATTGCTAAAAAGGAGTATTTTATATTTGGTGGAATCGTAGGCAGCTGTGTCCCACCTTTAGCTTGAGGCATTCGTCTTCGAAGGAGCATGGGGGAAGCTTTTGTTTTGGCAGGCCTGCCGTTGCATGTGAATGTTGCTGAAATACTTCCCAGTTGGCACCCCAGTGACCGCAGGCCTCTCTCACGCAGATGTGCATGCAGTGGCACATCGATAGTCTGCTGCCCTCTGTCACTTGGCCTTAAGTACTCCCAGTAGGTGACCTCCCATGACCTAACCACCTGCTCGAGGATCTGTTCTCCCCACTCCACTTTGAACCTCTGTGCCAGCCTTGCCTGCAGCTTCAGTAGGGTGCCCCATACCTGTCCCATGTCCCCCTCTCAGAGGGTTTGGATAGATGTTGTCTACCAGGAAATGTTCTCTGATCTTGAGGCAGGAAGAGCTGTCTCCCACTGCAAGTGTGGCCGGAATCACTTTCCTATCTAGATTCTGTATTGCTGCCAAGTAGCCATGCTTCCTCCTCACAGCTAAATCCAAGGGTCTGTAAGTTCTCAGGCACTGGTCTCTGCGGTTCACGGGTCCCCCACTTCTCCTGCAAGAGCCTCAGGCCCCTGCCAAAGCAGTCAGAACCTCAGTGCTATCACCACCTGTAAAGGAAGTCACCAGCTTCCTTAATAAAACACCACCATGATCCTCCACAGATGCCATCGGGGAAAGGCCTGCCAGGCTCACAGCCCTGACTAACTCTTGTCCCTCAGGATCCACCTTCCCTGGGAGATCTTTCCCTGAGTGCTCCTGTCACCACTGTGGGGGCTCTAGTGAGTGCTGCTCCGTCCCAGTCCATTTCAAAACCGGGGCAAGACTCTTTCCCTCACCCCCAACTGCACAGCTGAAGACCAGACCGGAAAACCTTCACACTATACCATCAGTTGTCCAGAAATAACAAACGTGAATACTCACTGAACTGAGTCTGCAGCTATGAGGACACGCCTAGTTCTTTTAAATGAATCGAAGTGAAGCAGACAGGATACCAAGAACACTGTTTTGTCCTTTTAACTTGGACCAACTGTCCTATTGCCACTGGCTTGATGACATTACCATTCTCTATCACATTTTTGGACCTAATATTCTTGGGTGGTGGTCTCTTCTGGGTTTTGTTGTCTCCCACTTGTAGGAAAAGAGCTGCTATCATGGGTAGACCTGGGTGTAACAGAGAGCCTAGAGCGTGTCATTTATGAGCTCCTCACAGATTTCAGGTCTAGGAAAGGAAACATCCATTCAGTTTTAGAATAGAATCCTTTTGTCCTGGCAAGAACCTTTTAAAGGGTCCTTCTGGTTGATATTAGACAAGTACTCACTCATTCACTGTTTGGGAGACTATTTGGGGGTTGAGCAAAGAGGTGAGGTCTGGCTAGTTGGCCCATTTCCTATGCATACAGAACCCTTCCATTTTTAGTTCAAGTTATCCAGAGGAAAAAAGAAAGAAAAGAAAATCAGCTATTCTCTTTCTGTTCCTTATCCCTTCTTTTGATTTTAAGTTTTGAAGTTCCCAATAGTAGTTATTGAATTAAGAGAAACAGCTAAGTATGGTTTTATTTATCTAGGTAACATCACTGCTGTTTTGATATCTGATAAAGGCTGTTAAAAATCAGTTC